TATTCAATATTTTAGTACTTTCTTTTTAGAGTACACTAGATGTATACATACACTAACCTATGAAGAGACGAGTGGGGGCTGATGACCCATTCAAATTGACCCACCCATCTAAAAGTAAAAAGTAAAAAGAAATAAACTTTTTTTATTATTTATTAATTCAATAAGATTTTGTGTCCTTAAGCAGATAAGTAATATATGAATACCTGATGTATGTTTTTTTATTAAAGGAAAAAATCTGTCAATGAAATTAGTAGTTAAGATAAAAATAATAAATATATAAAACCAGATAGAGATATAATTGGGATTATAGATTCCCTGGTTGTCTTTTAGCGATGGATTTTGGGCTTTGAGGATTACTATGTTATAAATTGCTTCTCATCTCAAGCCTGGACCAATCAGACGGAGCAGATCCATTATTAATAATATGCATGTGACCAAATCCATTCACCCTTCAACCTTTCTTTCACGTGCTTTAATACCAGTAAACAGTTTAATTTGCTCTATTTTTTTTTCTTTTTCCTTTTTGTTAATTCTTTTCATTATATATTATTTTATCTATACACTTGTAATATTATAATTATATTTATGAATTATTAACTATGAAGAAGATCTTATTACAATAATGATCATTAAAAGATAATTGATTAAATTGCAAAATAAGTGTTTGATTTGGTATGAATAAATAATTAATTGTGTGTGCAGTGTGTAATTAAACCCATTTCACTAAGCATTTAAGCATAAAAAGACATCTAAGATCAAATATTATGAGCTATAAAATCCCAATTCATAACTATAATCTACATATCTTTGCACTCTTTCGAATCATCAATTAAGAATCACTTCAATTCCCTTTTAAGCACAAATCAGTTAACCATCTTTCATGTCTTAAGATGACGTTAATACACATAGTCACTTCACTCAGCTTGGTTATTTATTATTTTATTTTTTTAATAATAAAGTATCCGGATCAGTTTATATGTATCCTAACTAATTTTACAGGACTTTGGAATTATCAATTAGATAAGAGTTCTAATGACCACCCTTATTAGCAATAGATAAATGATTTGAACTCAAGAACTTTTGAATAATACAATCAAAAATCATAAGTGAACTGCTCGACCATCTAGGTATTGATTAACTAATCTTTCAGAAACCTAAAATTATCGATCGGGTGAGAGCTCTAGTGGTCACTTCTATTAGCAACCGAAGAGTGGCTCAAACTCAAAATCTCTTGAATAATATACCCAATAGTTTTTTAATATAAAACTTGATATATTTTTTACGGCATTAAATACCTCACATTACAAGGAGCTGTGTAACTCAAAGAAAACAAGTTTTTACTTTTTCAACTTTTCATTAATGATGATAACATTGTAACAAAAACTCTTAAATAATATAATTTTAATTAAATAAATAAATTTTATATTTAACTAAATATTAATATATCGTTTTTGGTGTAGGGAATGTGAAAATGTGTTAAATTTACAATTACATATACAGAAAAGAATATTTTAAAAATTTCAACCCTTATTGTGTTAAAAATATCAAAACAGTCTGATTGGGCCACGTGGTGACCAACCACAACCAATCCCAACTCCCTTACAAAGACCAGTATAACACTGTATAAATGTACACATAAAAAAAGCAGTTTACAAATAGAAATTCGGTAAGAGAAAGCACGAGCCTTAACCTCAGCCCATCCGCCTCTTTCTCTCTCTCTTTCTCTACTCAGGTCAAGCCATATTCTTCTTTCTCACCACCTTCTCTCCTACACAAATCACCACCACCACCAACAGCAACGATCCTTTTCTTCACTTTGTACATACACAGATTCTCACTTTTTAAAATTTTCAAATACACCCCCAACACCCACCACAACTCTTACTCACAATGCCAGCTCAGAAGCGTTCTTACGACAACTCCTCCATTCCCCCACCCGACGACGCTCATGATTCCCCGCAACGCCAACACGCCAACAACCACCACCACCACCACTATGCCGAAACTAGTGCTGCAGGAGCAGCTGCTGCCGCTGCTGCTGATGCTGATGTGGATGGCAACGGTACGTTTTGTGTGACTATATTATTGTTATTATTATTAAGGAAATAATGAAACCATGACTCTGCGTAATTGTAAGTTTTCTGTGTGCATTTTGCTTTGGGTTTTGATCCTCGTTTTTACTTTTGTTTTTCTTGTTATCAGAATCTGATCGAAGCCGTTCGTCTGGTAACGAGGAAAAGGACGAGTGAGTTTGTTTCTTCATTTGTTTGTTTCGTTACTTTTACTCGTTTTCTGAGCTCGATTGCGCGATCTGCATGTTCTGTGTTTTCTGTTTCTTGCATTTGCGACTACGTTTAAGGAACTTCGATATGGGTTTCGTGGGCTATAATTTGTGGCTCTATTTTGTGCTAGCTTCTACTCGTTGAAAGCGGGCATAGTTTGGTTTTTGTGTAGAACGTGACAGTATGCGTCAAAGTTTGATTTGTGATTGGTTATGTAGCTTCGACTTAGCGGTTAAATTTTGCATGGGGTGGTTGATTAGAAGTGTTGTGGTAATGTAACGGCTGGGTTGCGTTTGAGCTGTGGGTAACTCCTTGTACATCAATTTAAGCTTGGTTTGGTAATGCATTTTACTGGGTGGAAGTTAATTCTGTTGTTGTTTTAGTCAATTGAGATGTCGCGGTGATATTGCTATGTATTGTAATGATTCATGGGCCACAGTGTTGGCTTGTGTGTCTCAAGATCTACTGGGACGTTACTGTGGTGAGTTTTGGTTTTCTCGAAAGCCCCAGTTGACTTTAGTGGTAATACAGTTTCATTTTGATGCATTGTGTGAGTATGTCGATCACTAAGTAGCAAGATCAACCAAAAGATTAATACATATTCTTACTTTGCCTCTTTGCATGAAATGCTCGATGGTAGCAATTGATATTTTTTATGTTTTAATTAAGGTGGTTTTTGTACAGTTTTAGTTGCCTTCCAGACTCCAGTACCTTTTTCTATTCACACTTCATGTATGTGAGAATCATATCTCTTCAAAACTGGAAAGTTGGAAGTCCAAATCGAAGCACTGATAGGGTGTATTAACAAGTATAAATTGTTCTCTGTAAACCATTTAATCTATGGTAGTGTCACTCTTAATGCTGAATGATGGTGTTGATCGGTTGAGGAGGATGTGAATATATGATCAATTTATTAAATATTTCCATCAACTACTTCTCTAGATGATGATGCAGATTTTGTGGTAGATAATGGTTCTCTGTCATGTTACTTGAAACAGAATGGGCTTGATCTTTCAGAAAGTCAGACTTTGGGTTTCTTTTGGTATCTTTGATGTGTGCTACTGATGTCTCACCTGGTCATTTTAAGCCACTTGTTTCTTTTTGTTAAGAAGCCTAATGCTTATGAAGATGGGTCAAATTAGCTTTTTGAAAATTCCATTTTTGTAAAGGAGTGGATCATGCCTTCTTATACTGTCTTTGCTGGAGGCTCCAAATACTGGATATTCAAATGACTATTCTGGTTAGATTGATTATAAGGACCACACTGCTGTCAAATTTGTAGTGAAAACTCTGTTATTAACTTGTATTTCCATGTTTTCAAGGGAAATGTGCTAGAAAGTGCAACATGACCTATGTATTTATTGTCGATTTGTTATTTTTTCTTGATGCCTTTTGTTGTGTTTTCATTGAAAGGTTTTTATCAGTCCAAGAGCGGCTACTTTCACGTTTAAATGTGATTAGACACACTTAGAGGAATTAGCAGAAACCAAGTTTGTTGTTGAAACAATTTTTCATAATATCGCCATATGATGATTACATTTCTGTTTATTTTTAATTTTTTGGCCACTTGATTGCTCATTTATATTTGCTTGTGTATAAGTTTTATGATGTTCCTGATCTGAAGGTTTAGAATATCCTTTTTTTCTGCAAAGCATGTGTTTTTATTCAATCACTTGACTCATAGAATCTTGTCTAATTCATGCACCTACTAAGAGATAGTTACATTGGTGAACCTATATTTTAATTGTCAGTCTCTGATATGCTAAAAGGCCTGCATTGGTGTTTGTTCACAGGTTTGTCCTAGTAAAGTTGTCTGATATACGCAAGGAAGTGCAATGTCCTATATGTCTGGGTAAGATTCTATGATGCTTTGTTAACTATGTTTACTTTCTACGTACTAATAAATTATATATTGCCACTATTTGATTCTGCTGTATATTCTATATAAACTTTGATCCTTGGGTGTCCTCCTAGGCTTTATATTTAGGTTTGGGTTCTTTTAGGACTTGTAATATTCTATCAAGGAAAGTTATTCAATAGTTCTGGACACAAGTATTAGTTTGGTAAGTATGAATAAGAACTTCTATCATAGTATTGAATCATTGAGATTAACCTTCCCGCAATGATATATTGTTATGTTTCAAGCTTTCTATTGCATACAAGTTACATAAATGTGTTTTTATTGTGGCTCAGCCCTTAATCTGAGACATAAGACATGGATCTTTTGTATTTGGTGACTCTTAAGAAACCAAATGAGTTTACTAGTTTCAATCATTTAGAAGTTTTCAAGAGGCATAAGCTTCAACTGTCAGATACACTGGAGATCTCTGGCTGGTCACCGGTGGTATTGCCTTTTTAATGAAAATCTTAAATTTAACTTGCAACTTCAGCTTTCTGGCTTGTAGCTCTACATTTGTTTTTTATAACTTGGAGTTTGTATTATTTCCCATCAAGAAGAGGAGATGATTAATGGAAACAGGAAAATTTCCCATATATTTTCGCTCAAGGTTTCTTATAGAACAAAGTTTGAATTGGTCTTACTTAGATACTGATCAGAGTTGGTCTTTGCAAGAGTGTGTAGTTTGCTTGTCCAAGTAAAATGCTTATTGAATGTTATATAACCCACTGATTAGCAGATTACATTCTATCTACAAAACTTTACATAGTCTTCATGTGGATTTATAGCATTTGCCATATATTGTAACTGATACAAAGTCGTGGATTGTCCGCAATCTCTGAATTATTCTATGTATATAGCTTTTCACTTAGCTCATAACCAATTATGTGCGAATATGTTAAGCAAGGTTCCAAGTTGGTATCTCCACAACTTAGGAATCAATTTATTATCTCTCTCTTTTTGTCCATCTTTATTTTAAGTATTCAAACACTTTTGAACAATTATATAAGAGGGTGCTGTTAGAACTGTTAGAATAAAGATATGAAACATATATATGTTAGACTCTTACCTAATAGCTCAAGTTGTTAAGTCAAATGGTTACTTAACATAATAATAGAGCTCAAATTCTCAAGTTTGATCCCGCATATGTTTCAATTCACTCATTCATGTCTCTTGGTTTTGTTTTCTTTGCTCGACAGTCTTTGAATCCATTGTGACTTTAAAATTGGATTCATGTTACACATGATGGGTCTGTTCGACTTAAATATAATATTGGGCATTTAGTTAATTGGCTCATAGCATAATTTTTGGTTGAAGTGGTAATTTAATCAGAACTTTCTGCACAAGCATACCGAAAATATCCAGCTTCAATGTTTTTCTCTCATGTTTACCTCATTCTACTTCTTTTACGTCCCTTCTCTCTAACCATTATTAGTTATGTCATGTTCAACAGTTATAAGTACTTTTCTAGGTAAACTCTGTCATCTCGTTGCTCTTCATATCCATGATAAGCACTTTTCTTTCCCAATTTAAAATTCTCCTCTTGTCAATCTTTATTTGGGTACAAGACAGTTTAGCTATTTCAAACTTGAACATTTTTTTCTTGCACTTACTCATGTTTCTTTAACAGATTATTTATTTGAGCCCGTTTTATGTTTTGCAAATAAATTAAGTGCAACATGACTTAAAAACCAAAATTTGGCATCTAATTATTATTACAGCTCCGATGTAACCAGTTAAATAATGGATCTAATTGAATAGTTCATTAACTATCTAAAAGGATACTGATTCGTTATTGTGATGGGGGTGCAGACTAAGAGCTTTAAGTTCTTCAGCTAATTTGTATAAGTCACATGGCATCTTTTGCTTCTTAGCATTGATGAGTATGTGTGAATTCTAGAAACTTATTGATTTCCCAATTTCTGTGTCTAGGGATCATTCGCAAAACACGGACAGTTATGGAATGCCTGCATCGTTTCTGCAGGGAATGCATTGACAAAGCTATGAGAATGGGGTATGGTTAAAGTATTTACCTTCTCCTTATTCATTTTTTGAAACATTGAGTTTACATATCCCTGCCAGTTTTGTTTTGAGGTGATCTTACTTAGTCAAGTTCAAATGTGACTTGTAAGCCTTAGAACTTTCTTTCATTGAAAATGTTAATAGAAATTTACTGTAGGAACAATGAATGTCCTTCCTGCCGCACGCACTGTGCTAGTCGTCGCTCTTTGAGAGACGATCTAAACTATGATGCCTTAATTGCAGCCTTGTATCCAGATATTGACAAGTATGAGGAGGAGGTATAATTTCATTTATTTATTGCATTTCAAAATATGAATTTGATCCTTATTTAGTTGAAACTCAAGGTTTCATTTTGAATACCTCCTTTAGGAATTGGCTTTCCAAGAAGAGGAGACAACTCGCAACAAACAGGTGAGATATTGCTAGTTTGGTTATGGGCTTATGCTTATAGGCAGAGGTATTTTTCTCATTTTGTTCCTTTGAATGCTTGTGTAAGCTCAAAAGTGATATGTGTTTTATTTGTCTGTTGTGATTATATGCCCACTTTTCTTTGCCTTGGGTTCTTCATGCATCATCAAGGAATAGCAATCATTTCTCTATAGAAAGGAAAACAGTTGAAATGCTTGAGTGATTATTTGCCCTGTGCACTGAATCCACTGATCGATATTTAAACTTTCAGAATTATAAAATCTCAATTTGAACTATGCATGCCTTCATTTTTGTATGTAAACCCTTAGGTTATCCATGTGTAAAACACAAGTATCTTGCACCATATTTCAGCCATCTGGTTAGGTATTATGTTAGGTATTCATAATGCAATTATATTGCTTGAAGCCATTAAATTTTTAGTTTTTTCAAATAGATCCAAGCTTCCATTGCACAAACTTTCCAGCGGCAAACAGAAGCTCTTGGCCGCAAACGGACTGCTAAAGCCACAGCAGCTGCATTTGTGAGGAGATCAAATGGTCGTTATCGAGATACTCCTCTGGGGAGGAGGAGGAACTATCGAACAACTGAACTTCAGGGATCTGATGATAATGAAGATGCAAATGGAGATGCAGGCAATAATTCATCTTCTGCTGATGAACGCTCAACAGAAGTTAGACCAAAGAGAGCCAAGAGATGGGTTGGAGCTCGGTTTTCTCAATCTTCAGCTGCTGGTAGTGCTGACGGAGGTGGTGATGAAAATGACTCTGAAGTCAATAGAGAATCCATGGGTGCATCTGCTGGACTCATTGGCCCTTCTGAAAGGCTTGCCTGGGGCAAAGGCGGCATGCGGTCTCACACACGGCATGGCAGTGTGAGTGGTGGAAACGGTAAGAATGCCCGGAACAACCGCCTCTCTAAAATAGTTGATTATCTCCGGAACTTGGAGGAAAAAGATGACCAGGTAAGGTTGACTTCTTCTTGGTGATAGTGCGATTAATATGATTAGGAATCTTGCTTATTTGTTGCTTTGAATTGATGCAAGCTATTGCCCGTAATGAATCCAAAACTAAGTTTGTCATCAACGTGCATACTGTTCGCAGCTTCTTTATGATTGCTGTTCATGAGATTATCAGTTTATCATGGTTTCTCACAGATTCTCATTTATTCTTTACCAACATGATTTGTCAATGACCACTCTCTTTTATTTCAGTTGGATATCCACCTTATGCTTGTTTCTTTTGACGAACAAAGAATCCCAAGTTTGCAACAGCCATACCTCTGCTGCAGGCCTACATTGTCTGTGAGGCACTTACGTCAGGTTGTACTCCTTCCCTCCTACGCGTTATTTTCAATTTTACAGCACTTTGTCTCAAATTTGAAATCATTTTGGCTTTACTACTGAAATTGATGTTTAATTGCCTGCTGACAGTATGTTGCTCTCCATACTGCACTGCAAGCAAATGAAATTGAAATATACTTGGTAAAAGAGTTGCATACCAAACTCAACCCTCCAACCTCTGCAAATTCTCCAACTTCTAACCCTAGTGTGATAGATCTGGGCAAAGATAAGCTGCAAGCTTTAGATGAGCAAGAAACTTTGGCAGGGCTTAAAACACAAAATTTCAGCCAAGGGCAACTGGTGAGCTCTCTTCCCAATTAAATCCAATTTATTGATTTATGCATAGAATTCAAATCTTCAACGTATTCACAACAAAGCATGCAGATGTAGTAATAGTAGTAGTACTAGTATTCCATTTTAGTCATTGTTTCATTCTTGAATACTAAACCATTCCTTTAATCTATGCTTTTCTCAGCTTCTGGCATATCAGAAAAATTTGTCCAACTGAAAGTGGTGACTACGGACATTATTGCTGGATTTGTCATCAAGAAGTAGCTGTTAATGGTGTTTTTACAAAGCAAAGGCAGATATAAATATACTTAAAACAGGGATCACAGGTAGGTTTCAATTGCTCTAGAATAATTAGTCTTATTATATAGTAAGTAAGATGAGGCTTTAGATAATCTAATGTACACGTAGAGTGTTTTAGAAGTAAGAAATTATTAGTGTTGTCATCCAAAATGGCTTGTTGCAACTGACATAATGTCATACATATATATTTTATTTCAACTCTGTGATTGTAATTGTTTCTATCTTTATAGTGTGTGCTTAAATTCGTTGGCCAAGCTATGCCCATTTATTGAAGAGGCAAGTTGAATCTGTTTTAGCTGAACAGGAGACTCTACAAGAATCGTCTTCCACAACTCCCTTCTGATTAACTGAGGGCCTGTTCTCCATCTTTAAGAACGCCATTGTAATATTAACCTTTCGTTCTGAAACTTTGGAATTATCCAGCAGGGCTTGATGTATAAAAATAAAAGAGCAACTTTTAAAGAGAATTGGAACAATTGACATTACATAGGCCTATAAATCCCAATAGAAAAGGCCTTAAGAGGAAATCCCAGTTGAGTAAACGACATTTTTCCCACCCAAGGTTTGCCTCAATGACACTTTCCCACCTAAAAAGGTTCAAAATACCACTTTCTCACCCAACATTGATGTTCTGTTACTACTCAAAGTCGATTCCGATGCCAAAAATTCTCTTTGTCACCACCATTTGAGCCTCTGATCTCTTCCGTACAAAAACCATTTCACTTTGGCACTTGATTTCTTGTTGATTGTCGGTCACCACAAATCTAGGGTTTCTTATTCTTAGTTGATTTCCAGCTGATTTTGACGGTGAATATTTAATCAATCACCGCCAATTCGATCCACCAGCTTCCACTCTACAAAACCCCTTTTACCCTCGCTCCTGGTAACTCGTCAAACGATGGCTGAGAAAGTGAACTATATTTTGGGTATTAATAGAATATAGACTTGGGTGGAAAAGTCGTATTTTAAAACTTTTTGGGTGGGAGAGTGTCATTAAGGAAAACCTTGGGTGGGAAAAAAATCCTTTACTCAATCCCAATAATAGGAAAGTGATTTTTACGATAAAGATTAACTCAAAACTCAATCTTACAAACTCTCTATCACAACTCCTAGGTGGCAGCTCTCCGTTTTTTGCTGATGAATTTTGAATTTTGAGAAATTCATGAGCAAAAATCTAGGGGCTACCATCTAGGGGTTTTGAGAGAGAGTTTGTGAAATTGGGTTGTAAGTGTGATATTATCTTGTTTTTTAACCCTCACTAATTGATCTTTACCCCTACTTTTAGTTTAATTTTTTGTTTTGACAAATTTAACCTTAATTTAAATTACTAGAAATAATATTATAATTTCTAAATACACTCATACTCTATGTTATAATTTTGTTTTTAATTTTTAACATGGAATCTTACATAAACATTAACCCTATGTTTTCATGATCTCATCATAAATATTCATAATTATTGAAACCTTTATGTTTTATTTTAAACATTTGTTTGTTTGATAAAAATATAATACTAAAACTATAGAAAACATAACAAACTGAATCTGAATATGAAGAAGAGAAAATACGTTGAAATTAGGAAATTGAAAGAAAAAAAGATTAAATAACTTTTTCCCACCCAAGGTTTGCCTTGATGACACTTTCGTACCCAAAAAGTTTCAAAATACTACCCAAAGTCGATTTGGGTGGTGAAAATTCTCTCTGTCACTATTATTTGAACCTTCGGTCTCCTCTCTACGAAACCCCTCTCACTCTGGCACTTAATTTCTCACTGATTGTCGTCCATCGCAAAGTTAGGGTTTCTTGTTCTTAGCTGATTTTTAGTTGATTTGGTGGTGAATATTCAATCGGTCACCACCATTTGATCCATCGGCCTCCACTCTACAAAACCCCTCTTATCTTGGTAACTCGCCAAATGTCAGCTAAGAAAGTAAAGTATATTTTGGGCATTAAAGGAATATAAACTTTTGGGTGGAAAAGTGATATTTTGAAACCTTTTGAGTGGGAAAGTATTATAAAGGCAAACCTTGGGTGGGAAAAAGTCGTTTACCTTAAGAAAAAAAATCTATTTAAGTTCAGTTTGGGAAAACTAGTATGAAACAAAAACCTAATTAAGTTTGAAATTGAGAAAGATAAACCTAATTAAGCTTAGAAGGTTGTTTTTGGTATTAAATTGGGTTTAAAGATATTGTTGTTGTGATTTTTCCATCAACCTTGGAGAATTGCAAGGTAATAGCTCAATCCAGAACAAGCTTGACTCTATCGATTGTCCGACCTAGCATAAGCTTGTCGAGTCGTAGCTCGACCTAGCACAAGCTAGTCAAGACCAATCCTTGCAGGTGTTCAACCAATTCATAGATAACCTCAGATCCCGGATATCTTGGGAAGGATTAGAACGACATCAATCTTTGCGCAATCATAACGCCCAATCGTAAGAATATCGTAATTGCATTTAGAACTTAATTATAATCCCTATATTTTTGCTCTTTCCTTTGCACAAACTCTGTATGTAAACCCCTTCCAACGATGAGAAAATGGTTAGAAAACATTTCTAGGATTGTCATTGTAAGCTCTCACAACAAATACAACAAACAGTGGACGTAGGCTCAGGAGTTCATCTCGCCAAACCACTATAAAAATCTGTTTGTCATTTACATTACAACCATTATTGTTTACTCACTGCTGGTTACCTGTAACCACGCACACATCAGTTCCGATCTCGTCAAGGTCGATCGAATCACTGTAGTTGATGCAAATTTCTATATCAACATTTTGACATTGAAAGAAGGGGCCTCTGCCAACATCTTAGAAATTCCAGCAAACAACCACATCGATTTAATCAGTCCAGGCCTGCAATGGTACGTACAAGATTAAAAACCACCACTAGAAACCACGACAATGTGGATACCACCAATCAGGAAGTGCAACAGAATGCCGCTAGGCATCGACCACCAGTGCATCCAACTTAATAGGCCGCAAATAACCAGGGGGCAAGAATGTTAAACCTTGAAAATGGCCAACTGGTGGAAATGATCATAACAATAGTTGCACAAATGAGGCGGTGCAATAGAACGTGGCTGAGCTGAGAAATCAGTAACCAATCGCACAAAACCTTGACCAGCCACGCTTCACTGATATCACCCCAACAGGTTGAAACTCAATTGGTGACCAATCCGGCTCATCGACACCAAGAGGCGACCAACACCCTCGACGTCACAGAGTTCACTCCGGTCACGAGCGTGAGTCCTGCAAGCAAACTAACCCCGAGACGTGACCAAGGAAACAACCAATAGGTGAAAGCGAAGGTAATGGTCACCCATGAGACGCTCGACCTACTCGATGATATTCCCAGCGTCAGCGTGCCGATCTTAACCTACGCTCAAGACAAGCTCGATCCTTACAAGCTTGCGAGACAAATCATGTGCGCCAATCTGACAATGATCGACATTCTAGTTATAACCGACATCGCAAGCAACGCACTGACAAACATGATAACACCTATCAACCAAGCCATCATGACTCAACTTCGCGCATCAATATGCGTAATGGAGGGGGCTCACAAGCAACAGATTTACTAACTCACTTGCTCGAGGTAAGACTGAATAGAGCCAGCCAGGGCAATTACAACGAAGACTTAGATCGTGTGCAGAAGATGCTCGATGACCTAAGAGCTCGCCAGAACAATACAGCGGAAGAAATAGTAAGCTCCCCCTTCATAGAGGAGGTTCTCCAAGCCTTGCTTCCACAAGGATTCAGGGCACCAGAAAGTAAGTTCGATGGGAAATGAGATCTCAAAGACCACCTCGACACTTTTAATGACCTGATGGAGCTGCACCAGGTCTGTGACTTTGTGAAGTGTCACTGTTTCGCGGTCACACTGGTAGGGGATGTCAAAAGGTGGTACAAAAGACTCAAGGTGAACTCCATCAATTCTTGGCAACAATTCTCCTTTCTATACTTGCAACAATTCTAAGTGAGGAGACAATTTGCAATGCTGCTTAGTTACTTGAGCGACATTTGTCAGGAAAGAGACGAAACACTGACCTCATATTTAACGAGGTTCTAGAACGAGCAAGCAAAGATCGCAAATACACCCAAAGAGTCAATCTGGACTTTGCTAATTGCAAGCATCAGGACGTAAACGGAGCTGTGGAAAAAGCTCCAAAGTGAAGATCACGTGAGCCTGACTAAGTTTTACCAGATGGCTGCAAAACACCAACGAGTAGAAAGCTCGCTAGCAGCCCTGGTTGAAGCTAGCCTTGAAGAGCCTCAGACAAGCGACAAGATCGCCTATCAAACAAGCGGAGGAGCCAAGAAAGCAATGATAGGGATCGGAACAGGTCCAAAAAAAGACAGAAAACAGATAACCGTGGGAGCAGGCATCTTTTCTAGCAATACGCAGAGTACACCCACGTCACGCAAGAGATAGCCCACATATATAAAGTCTCCCGTGAGGCGAAGAGACTGCCTGCTCTGGAAAGAATAAGGGGGGCTCCGGGCAGAAGAGATCGGCAAAAATATTGCTGATACCACCAGGACATCGAGCATAATACCAACAAGTGTCGAGCCTTAAAGGATGCCATCGAAGACTTGATACGAAAGGGCCACCTAAAGGAATTTTTTAAGGAGGCGCCAACTCGAGAAAATGCTGGCGAACAAAATAACCAGGACCAGCAAGCCTCGACCAACGCCAACATGATGTTCTGGTGGGCATGATCTATCGGGGGCTCAACATAGCAGGGAGCTCAAGACGCGCTCACGGGCAATATGCTCGAGAAGCCAAAATAGACTCGGTCCCCCGAATAATAAGTTGTGAATAGAAGCCGCCAAAGCAGCTCAAACAAGAGAGCGAGGTGGTAGGATTCACAGTCAAGCAATGTGAAGAATCCCCTCGCCATAATCATGATGCGATCGTAATCGTAGCCAGGATCGGTAATGCCAGAGTATTGAGGGTGATGGTCGATAATGGGAGTGCAGCGAACATCATCTTCTTGGGAGCTTTCCAAGAAATGAGATTCACGGAGAGAGACTTGAGGGCGTGTCCTTCGTCGCTCTATGGATTCACCAAGGATAGCTTGGTCCCCAAGAGAACAATCGACCTTCCCATGACTCTGGGGGCAGAACCCAAAATTAGAACGGTGATGGCTGAATTCTTAGTGGTAGACTACCTGACCATATACAATGTCATCCTCGGTGACTCTGGGGGCAATCACTTTA